CTATAAGGTGGCCGGCCATACTATTAGGGTTTTACCCTATGTGTGGTGCCAACAACAGATAGGGAAGGAAGAGATTTTATCATTTATCTAATAGTCCAATTTTAATTCAAATTCAAATTCGAATTTAAGTCAAACTTAAATTAATTTGAATTTTAAATTGAATAACTTATCAAATATGTTTAAATAGATAAATCTAGATGTGTTCAAATTCAAATTTAAATAATCACATTATTTAAATAATAAATAATTCTCAATTAATTATTTTTCGAGTATTTAATTTTAGAATTCCATAATTTTAAAATTTCCATTTTGCCATTTGTGTCTGGTAAAATTACAAGGACGACGCGGGGACTAATGGACCTATAATCCCGAGCTCTAATAAAATTAATAATTAATTAAACACTTTAATTAATTAATTAATTCTATTAATTCTAATAGTTACCCCACTATAAACTAGGAATTGAACTCTCGAAATTATAGACATTAATTACTTCTAAACTGCGAAGTGTCCATTTGATATAGTCATTACATATAGATCAATCCTCCATAAATAATTCATAATTAGAGTCAGGTAGAATCCGTTAACCTTTCTAATTATATATGCATTCTTGAGTACCATTGATTCTCTAATGGATAGTGATTCATAAAACACATTCATGAACCAGAGCGCTCTTACTAATCCAAGTACTGAATCAACACTCAAGAAAATTATTTATCTACTTCTTTCTCAAGAAGGAATGGATTCCATCTCGTATAATAACATTCACAGCTACCTATTTCATTATGTCTCCAAAATACAAGGAATAGGATTCAGGGTCTCAGAATCCGTACCGAGTAAATCAAAAGACATAAATCCATAAATAGGAGTTTGTTAAGAACTCATGATTAAGATTATCCTATATATGACCATCGGTAGACTCAATTAGAATTTCTATGCTTAACGAAAATTATTAGAAATGCATATTGTATCTGTGTCCCTGTTCCACATAATCTTATTATGCGAAATACACTCATTCAATATCTCGCCATATTAACAGTGCGGATAACACCGTTCCATTCTAAATGAGAATGACATGTATTAATAATGTTTTAATTAAAGATTCTGAACTTTAATTAAATTCATCATGAACAATGTTTTTGATTATTATCCTTAAACACTATCCTCTCGTATATAACACTTATATACTATGTTTAAGGTTACATAAACAATCACGGAATTTTCATTTGATATTCATAAAATATTCATAAATATATGCAGATAAAATGATGAATAAACTCTTTTATTAATTAAATAATAAATATCATATTGCATCTCATGCTTCTAGGACACTATTCCCAACATGTATATCTAATTACATTGCAAAGAACAAATTCATATACAACCATTCTAAACTCTAAGGAACCATAACCGGTAAAAATTAAATAATAAAAAAACCATTCATAATTTATAAATAATAATCAATAAAAATTATTTAATCATCTATTCACTATATATTCATTATAACAAAAAAAATATAGAAAACCTAGAGTGCCATCTCTCTAAAATATCAATTCAAGCATAAATGAGATATTTTTATATCACAAATCTATGTACATAGCATAATCATGAACAAATAACCATGTCTCTGATACCAATTACTGGAAAATATGGCATCAAATGTGCAGCGAAATTTAAAAAAAATTCAAATCAATGCCAAAGCCAATCAAGAACATGTTCATGATGTTATATAATATAAATACTAAAGATCTAAATCATACCTTTTGAGATTTAAGAAACTACACGTCTGACAGATCAAAGCGTTCCAAACAACAACTGAAAGAACCTCAACCAACTGGTCTTATTTGCTATTCTCGTTTCCACGATCAGAGTGCAAGTGGGCACACGTCGTTCAATCTCCTCTTGGTATTCTTGAACTCCTTCCAACCACAAGATAGCCAAAGGAAAAATCGTTCTTGAGAATTAAACAATTTTTCCTCTCAGGAATCTTTTGTCAATAGCCTCAAAAAGTTTCTCAAGTGATCTAATGAATAATGTGACTTAATATGCTATTTATAGTGTTTAGGAAGTCATATTTCTGTAACAATTAGGTTTCTCAAAGTTTATCTCGCTTACAGAGTCAGTTTCGCCACGTCAGCACGCACTACACGTTACAACCGGTCAACCGGTGACAGAGACGTTATAACTCACCGGTCGACATGTCTTCATGAACCGGTCTACCCGACCGATCGACCTGTCTGATCTAGTAAAACTTGTTTTCCTAATTTTTCAACACGAGAAACTTGCATAGAGCCTCAATTTTGATTCAAGCAATCCAATAGAGAAGTTGTCTGATCAAAATAGTCATATAATAGTCTTCCCATATTAAAAGACTCTTAAAATAATAATTCAACCAATTTATCTAGAATTAATTTATCAATTAATTCACCTAATAAATCACTCATGAATTAACCAATCTCATATTAACTTTGAACCTCGTTTACCGAAATAACACAAGTCATCAATATGTAGTAAATACACCGTATCGTTACAGAAAATTATGTGAGCTAGCAAAGGGACCCGATGGACATATACAAATCAAGCTCCTATAATCACAACGTTACTTGTAAACCAACAAGTCCGTCTCATGATTATAAAACTCTAGCGCTACTCCACTAAAAGCCTAGAGCTGCACTCTCGATTTATATATCGTATTTGCAAAGCTCTGAATAGCTCTCATCCATGACTCAATATATTAGTGTATCATCCCTATAGGATATCCATAATCGACTTGAGGTCAAGTTCTGTTTTACCTTCCCGATGTATTATCACACCATCAGAAAACCACTATTCGTACCATTACAAATAGTAAACCATTAGATAACACAGAGTAGTCTAATGCCTGAGCGCTCGCATTTTCTAATCCACAGATAATGTATAAGAGGATATCATTGACTCTTTATAAGAGACATGGATTCCACTATCTATGAATAATGAATCTACGCATACACGAGTCATACCCCCAATGTACCGGTAAGTGTACCTTTACATAATGTCAGGATGTCTCCCTTTGGTACATCAAAAGATACAAGTCAAGCATACGGGTTCATTATCCATCTCAGGATTAAGATGACAACATATAATTCATCAAAAGTGAATTGTTTTATTCAAATGGTATTATTAATTAAACAAATTCAATATACATTTCACCATTAGAAACTATATTAATGTCTCTACCCATTGAGTCCCACCTCCGACGACCAAGACAAACCGTCTCCGTTAGGAAGTAGACAACATAACAATCTTAACATGAATAAAGCGTCCAACTTTCCTCGATTGTAGATCATATGATTTAGACTATCATCTTTATATTCTTGTCTTCCGCATATTCTTCTCATTACATGCATGACCTAAAGATTTAGAATGACAGTCTCAGACTTTCAGTTTGCTTATCATACATTCAACTAGAGTTACTGTGAAGAATAAGTACCCATTGCCAAATTGGATGAGTTGTTCGATCAGTTGGGAGGATTACGGTATTACTCTAAGATCGACTTGAGATCCGGGTACCATCAGTTGAATATTAGGGAGGAGGATATTCTAAAAACAGCTTTCAGAACTCGTTATGGGCATTTTGAATTTCTAGTAATGCCTTTTGGATTAACGAATGCTCCCGCCGCTTTCATGGATTTGATTAATCGAGTCTTCCGCCCGTATTTAGACCAGTTTGTGATAGTCTTCATTGACGACATTCTGGTTTACTCGAAGACCTGGAAGGACATGAGCAGCATCTGAGGATCGTTCTCCAGACTCTTCGTAAACACCAACTTTATGCGAAAAATGAGAAATGTGATTTCTGGTTGACAGAAGTCAAGTTCCTTGGACATGTTATATCTGGACAAGGAATTTCAGTGGATCCTTCAAAGATTGAAACAGTGCTACAATGGGAAAGGCCAAAGAATGTAGCCAAAATCTAGAGTTTCCTAGGACTTGCAGGATACTATCGACGCTTCGTGAATGACTTCTCGAGTATTGTTGCCCTGATGACTCAGTTGACTAAAAAGGAAGTCAGATTTGAATGGGATGCCGACTGTGAATATGCATTCTAAGAACTGAAGACTAGGCTTACCAGCACGCCGATCCTGACGATCCCAAATAGCGAGGAATCGTACGAAGTGTGCTCAAACGCGGTAAGGCGAGGAATAGGGTGTGTTTTGATGCAAAATAGACGTGTTATGGCCTATGCATCTCGTCAACTGAAGCCATATGAGCAGAAATACCCCACACATGATCTGGAGTTAGAAGGGTGATCTTCGCTCTCAAGATATGAAGATGCTACTTCTATGAAGTAAAATTTCAGATCTTTTCTGACCACGGGAGCTTAAAGTATTTGTTTACTCAGAAAGACATGAACCTAAGGCAAAGAATATGGATGTAATACATGGAAGATTACGACTTTACCCTGTAGTACCATCCTGGAAAAGCTAACGTGGTCGCGAATGCTCTCAGCAGGCAGACTTAAGGAATTCTTGTGTCTCCAGCCTTTAAGGATTGAAAAATGGCTGAAGTAGTGGGAAATTATGATCTTCAGTATTATGAAGACTATAATCAGGCTATGGTGTGCGGCTCAATTACTGCTCCAGCACTTGTACAGCGCGTTAAACAGAATTAATGGCAGGACCGACATCTCTAAGGGATTTGGATTCGAATTCAGAACGGAGAACAGCTAGATGATTGGAATGCTAGAAAAGATAGAGTATTGTACTTTAGAAAGATGAGATAAAGAAGGTTGTTCTTGATGAAGCTCACAGGTCATGGTTTGCCATCCATCCAGGAAGTACAAAAATGTATCAAGATCTAAAATGAAATATTAGTGGAGAGGAATGAAAAGGGACATTCGTTAATATGTTTCACAATGTGTAACCTGTCTCAAGGTTAAAGTAGATCATCAAAAACCCGTTGGGGAATTACAACCTCTTCCTATTCCGGGATAGAAGTAAGAACATATTACGATGGATTGCCGATGACCGAGCAAAGGCATGATGCCATATGGGTTGTTGTCGATAGGCTACCAAAGTCTGCGTACTTCACACTGTTCTGTGCAACATATTCAAGAAAGGTCTTAACAGAACTATACCTAGAACACATTGTTAGACTCCACAAAGTTTCGTTATCCATCACATCGGATCCTGACACTCGTTTGAATGCCAGATATTAGAAAAGCTTTCAAGAAGCCATGGGAATGAAATTGACCTTCAGCACCGCCTTTCATCCTTAAACATATGGACAATCTGTGAAAGCATCCAGATTTTAGAGGACATGCTTCGTGCTTGTGTTTTAGACCTCGGTGGAAATTGGAAGAAGTATCTCCATTTAGCCGAGTTCGCCTATAACAATAGTTATCAGGCTAGCATTGGAATGGCACCATTCGAAGCATTGTATGGCAGACCTTGCAGATCGCCAATCTGTTGGCTTGAGTCAGAAGATTGACTCACTCTTGGACCGGATGTTATCCAAGAAAATAATGAGAAGATAGCCGTTATCCGGGAACGACTGCTAACGGCTCAGAGTCGCAGAAGAGCTATGTTCACATGAGGCATATACCCTTAGAATTCTAAAAAGGCGATTTTGTCTTGTTAAGGGTTTCTCCGCGCAAAGGAATTACTCGCTTTGGTGTAAAGGGAAAACTTACACCACGGTACGTTAGACCATTTCAGATCACACAACGGGTCGGTGTCGTTGCTTACCGCCTTGATCTTCCTCCAAAATTGTCTCACGTGCACAATGTGTTCCATGTTTCTATGCTTCGAAAGTGTCAAGCTGATCCAAACGCCATTGTGCAATGGTATAGCATGTCGATCCAGGATGACATGACTTATGAGGAAGCACCAATACAGATTCTTGACCGGAAAATGAAAAGCCTACATCAACGTGAGATACCGTTAGTGAAGGTGTTGTGGCAACACCATGACGTTGAGGAAGCAACGTAGGAATTGGAAACGATGATACATGAATGATATCCACATCTGTTCATATCGTGAGGTAAGTTACAATTTCGGGGACGGAATTTCTTAAAGGGGTAGAGCTATAATGCCCTCTAAAATTAAACATGTTTAATTATGCTAAATTGTGAGTTATTAGTGTGCTTAATTTAATTTTCACAATTAATCAATGAACTTTAAATTATTTTCAATATTTATGATTTCACCCCAAAAGTTTTTGAAAATATACTTAAATTTTAATGCGTTTTCTTTTTTTCTATTTTCCCTATTTTTCTATTTTTTCCTTTTCTTTTCTATTTTTTCCTTTTCTTTTCTTTTTCCTTTTTTTTCTTTTCTTATTTTTCCTTTCCTTCTTTTCCCTCCCGTAGCTTTCCTCTCTCTCTTCCTTTCTTTCTTTCTTTCTTTTCTTTTTTTTCTCTCTCTCCTCTAGTTTCTCTCATGGCAGAACATCTCCCTCTATTTCTCTCTCTTCTTTTTTTTCTTCCACACCGGCCACTTCCTCTCCAGGCTCTCTCTCTCCTGCTGGCCTTCTCTCTCCGACCGTTTCTCTCTCTCTCTCTCTCTCTTGGCTTGCTGGCCAAGACCCACAAAAAAAAGAACAAAAACGAGAGAAATGGAGAGAAACGAGCTTCAATCACTTTGAGGTAAAGATTTCTTGAAAACCCATACTTGAGTTTGAGTAATTGATTTGAGAATTTGAAATTTTGGTTAGATTTGAATAATTTTGAGTTAGGGTTTGGATTTTGACCAATTGTTGTTAAATTGAATTATATTTGGCGGTTTTCAGTTATTGGACTTGTTGAATTGATTGGAAACTAGTTTTGATGATTTCTAGAGAATTTATTTTGAAATTGAACTTGAATTGCAGGTTTGGCATTTTTCCTATTTATGCCAGCATGCTGCCAAAATTTCTTTAAAAACTTGTTTTTAAGCTGAAATTAAATATGAAACCAAACCCATGAATTGGATTTAAATTTTTAAAGAACCCCCAAACTAAATTATAAAATCGTTTGTGAAACTTGGATTTGAGTCAAGGCACACTAATAGGAAATAATTAAACGTGATTGAGCTTAATTCATTTTAGGAATGAGAAATATATCCTAAGATATTACTTTTGTGATAAAGCTAGTGGAGAAGATCGAGTTTTAAAGCTTTAAGGAAAGCGGATGTTAGGGTGACGAGAAGTTAGCCACAGGTTTGACATCCGAGAGGTAGGATATTCTTGTCCATATCCTTGTTAGCCTCACTTTAAATGATTTTGGCCAATGAAAATGTTTTAGAACAAAACATGTTGAAAGAAAATGGTTTTAAAGGAAATAGAATGAATAATGCTAAGTTTTCCAATAATTTTAGAAATGAGATTTAAAAAGTGTCATTTCTTAAAATGAAATATTCTAAGAAATGATAAAACGCGTGGTGGCCTCAAAGATCAGGATATGTGAATCGTATCCTTAGGGGCAGGTCCCAAAATCCGTACGGATCCACTTCTTTCTCAGTGGTGTTATGGCTTTGCATTTTTTCATTATACATATATTTTTCTACTACTACGTGAGTATTTCTTTTTTCTAAAAAGGATGATGGGTTCCAGGTGTAAGTTTTCAGACTGTGAGTACCTTTATTTATAATGTTTTATAAAATTTTATCTTACTGGGCCTTCCGCTCACTTTTCTTGTTTTAAATGTATTAAACCCCTCTAGGCGACACGAGGAGTAGTGCGGAATAGGTAGCTACTACCAGTGAGGTGAACCCATCTTTGAGAAGTGAAGATTTAAATTTCCTTTCCCTTTATCTCATAGCATGTATTAAATTATGGATTGTAAACTCAAATATTGCTAGACTGTGGTTGATGTCAACATTTACTTTTGTATATATTCATGTATGCTAAACCTGTGGGAATTCCTGACACGATACCAGGGGTGAGGTTTTGAACTGGTTTGGTTGGAAATTCCACCACTTTTCTTGCAACTGAATTTCTCATAACTAGTGGGGCTTGTTTGCAAATACCTTGATGTTTTAGATTTAAAATTTAAATTTTTGCACTGTTATTTGTTAATCACTTTCTTAAACAGGTTTAAATTTCTAAACAAGCCTCCACGTCACTAATCCCTGATTGGGGGCGTGACAACTATGTTCGGTAAAACTAAGTGGCTGATCTAATGTGGCTATTAATCGTGCCATTTTCATACGATCGACTTGCAGATCGTATTTCTAAGTGTTTTTGGCGGTCAAATGATAATTGTGTTTGGCGAAGATCGGGTCCGCCTCCTTGCTTTTGAAGACACTTTTCGAAGTGTCTTCTTAAGTGTGTTGTGCCGTGAATAGTGTTACATTATAATTTATCACCACAATATTTGCATTGAGCTACGTATTTAATGTTACTGTCATTGTCGACCTCCTCGAATGTGTTGAAGTGCTCCCAAACTGTTGAGGTGCGCTTGCATTTCTTCTTGAAACTTGCAACACTTGCACTAGCACTTGCGCTTGCCTCTCCTTCACGCCCACCACCATTACGACCACGAGGTCCACGACCTCTAGTACGTCCACCACGTCTCGGATTTGTAGTTTCCTCAGCATCTATTTCTGGTGTTTGTGATTCCTGCATTTGAAAAATATTGGTAGGAAATTTTCCTTCTTCAATATTGAATTGGGCATCAACGGGAATATCACCACCATAACCGGAGGAATCCATTATGAAAAATAAGAGAGATCGGGGGCGCTTTGAGAGAGATTAAGAGAGATCGAGAAAGATTAAGAGAGATTGAGAGAAATTAAGCGAGGATGAGAGTTTTTGGGTGAGAAAAATGGTTGGGGGAGGGGGGTATTTATAGGGAATTTTTTGGCTAGAAAAAAAAATTTTTTCCCTTAAAAAATTTGGCTCCAGCGGTAACTTAATGTCGGCGGGTCCGGTCAGGCAATTGAGTTTCTCGGGCAACAGTAAAAGATAGAGTCGGTGTCGGGCAAAACGGGCAGCGGGTCGAGTTCGGGCAGAAATAGCCGTCACATTCAAAATTCAGGCGCAAATCATGCTAACGATCAAAAAATTATGTGTGTTTCGGGTTCAGGTTCGGATCAGGCATAAAATTCAAAAACCTAGCCGTTTTTGGGTATTCAGGCTTCAAATCGGGCATATTGGGTACGGTGGAAAAATTCAAAAAAAAAAGCGGCCGCCGGCAGTCACAGACCCCACTGGCGGCGGTCTGCGGGGAATGTTTTTTTCTCGGGCTTCCTAAGCCCGAGCTCGTGAAATTTACTTGGACGGGCGGCGGTAGGTGCCTGCCCGCTGAGCCCGAAAATTTTCAGGCTTCGGGCATGCCCGCCGCTCGGAGTTCCACCACTGTGGTAAATACTGTATTAAACGGTCGTTGGAAACACAATCACTGGTCACCGGAGCTGACATTCAGAGTTGGTTGCCGACTATCGGCTACCGGTCGCCAGAGCCGGCCCCAATCCCGACTATAGTGGACTTGACTATAATCCACTTATTTAAAAAAAATATATATGTTATAATTTACTATTTTTTAAAAGATAGATGTTTAGGAAGGATGAATTAAATAGAAAAGGAAGTTTAGAATTATTTTTAGATTTTTAATAATGTTTAAAACTTAAAATATTAAATTATACTATAATTTACTATTTTTAAAAAAACATTCTATAATTTACTAATTAAGCTAAATTATTAAAATGCTCATCAGTCGTGCCTTTACTTAACACATGTTTTAAGAAAAACTTCTTTTATAAGCGCTTTTCTTGGAAGCGCAGCAACCCGAAACGGGGCCAAATTGAGATTGGTAATCCTATCAACTTGTTTCTGACCTAGAATAATGAGCTCATTTTACTTCGTCATTTGACAAAACAAAAAAATAAATAAAAGTAAAAATACGCATTAATTGTCCTTAAAAAGTAGTTCAAGCAAACCACACCTTTCAATACGGCTACGTTGTTGTTATACTTCAGGACAATCTTTGTCGCTTTTCAAATTGATTTCGCTTGCTTAACGAACACCACTCACTAACAATAGAGAAATCTTTCTTATCTGAAAGCGTAAGTGATAAATTTGCCCCAAAAGCAACCATATATTAATTTGATACCGCAGTAGCATAGTGATGGATTTTTTTTCTAAAATATATTTTCAGCTATTTTAATTCTTTTCGTACTAGAATTTAGGACTATTTCTACGAATTGTTTTGTAGTTCGGTTTTGTAGTTCGATTTTCTTGATTCGTAGTTATTTCTAATTCAAATCATAATTCATAATTTATTATAATATTTTTTTTATAAAAATAAATTTAAATTAAAAATAATTATAATCTCATAATTCTAATTCATACTAATCATTTTTTTATACTAATCATTTTTTTTATATAGTAGAAATTGTGTAAAAATAATGTTATAAATTTTGAGTAAAACCAAGAACTTTTCACATGTATCAAAATCCAATACTCCTTCGGCGAAACAAGGAAAATGTTTGGCTGCTCAACTGTAAAGACGAAACCCCAAAAAAAAAAAAAAAAAAGTTTCGCAATAATTATTAAAAATAACTACGAATCAAGAAAATCGAACTACAAAACAATTAAAAGAAGCTAACAATTTCAGAAACATGAAAAGATTATACATCAAAACAACATAATACATAAACTTCAAAAATACAATTTCGCTGCATAATTGCAAAATCAAACGACAAATTCCCCCAATTCGTAGAAATAGTCCTAAATTCTAGTACGAAAAGAAATACACCAAAACACCATTGTTTATAATACAAATTCATCGTTTAATTCAGCAACAACAGAAGCGAGAAAAGCCCTAACCCTAACCCTAACCCTAACCCTAGGGGACAAGCATCGGCATCATTGTTAATACAGAGAATTCATCCATCAATTCGGCAACAAAAGAGATGAAAATCCCAAACCCTAACCCTAGCCCTAGAGGAGAAGCATCAGAACCAGGATCAACCTCCGAAGCCGTAGAGAGTACGGCCCTGGCGCTTTAGAGCATAGACGACGTCCATGGCGGTCACGGTCTTCCGGCGAGCGTGCTCGGTGTAGGTGACGGCGTCGCGGATGACGTTCTCGAGGAAGATCTTGAGGACGCCGCGAGTCTCCTCGTAGATCAGACCGCTGATTCGCTTGACTCCGCCACGCCTCGCAAGCCGTCGGATCGCCGGCTTCGTGATCCCCTGGATGTTGTCACGGAGCACCTTCCGATGCCTCTTCGCGCCTCCCTTTCCCAGCCCCTTTCCTCCTTTTCCTCTTCCAGACATTTCCTCTTCCGCTTCTGTAAATTTTCCGGGAAATTTTTTCTTTGATTTTCTTTTCTTTTTTATTTCCTGTTTTTGGGATATTGGTGGCGTGATATGAGGTTTTGGGGTTCTTTTTTTATAGATGGGGGAGAGGTTGGGAAATGGCCGTTGGATCTAGTAACGATCCGCGTCAGGTGTAAATTGGTGAGTTTGAGCCGTTGGATGTTATTTGCTTGAATCTGATTCGCGGAAATTTTGGCTACGCGGATTGAAGAGGGTTTGAACTTGTGGAGTAATGGTGTTGGCTGGGTCTTTTTTAATGAAAATGATCTAAACGTCCATCTTACAAGCGCCAAAACAAAAGTAGAATAGTTATTAACAAAAAGGGAACAGACTAGGGTTGGCAATTTAGACAGTGAAACGATTACACGATTTAAAATTCACACGAAATTAGTAGATTTGAGTTTATTATAAATATATTCGGATTAAAATCAGGTTAAATTCGTGAAATACAATTAAATAAGGTGTCATTTTTTAGGTTGACTCGCCAACTCGTAATTAATTTCTCATAACTCGTTTATTAAATGTGTCATATTTGGATAACACGAATACACAACTCGTTTGTTACCTAGGTTAAAAATATTTCAACATTTCTATTTTCTGCCTCTCTCTGCCTACTAGGTTTTCTAACTTTTCTTCTCTCTCATTTTTTCGATCCAAACTCTCCACTCTCCAGTCCACCGCCGCTTGTCCAGACCCACCCACCCACCGACACCTTCGCTTCCTTCTCCACCCTATTCTCTCTAGACTCTCCACTCTCTCTGTCAGATTCGGCCTTCGGGATCAGATTCATCTCATTCTTCGTCAAATTCAGCCTTCGGGAACAGATTCTTTCAAGAGATTATTTTGAGTATTGTAAAAAACTAAAATCATGTTTGGTTAATATATTGAGTAATTAATAATTGATAATCACTTAGTAAATAAAAATTAATATATTAATAATATAATAATAATAATATATATTATAATTAATGAGAACATTGGTAATTAAATTATATATAATGAATTAGTTAAATAATTAAAAATAGTAATTAATAATCAGTTATAAATAATTACTATGTTAATAACATACTTATATTTATTAGTTTATAAGTAATTAATAAGTGTATTAAGAAAAAAATAATTAGTATATAAATAATATATTAATATTTTATTTACTACTTAAATAATTAACTTTTAGTTACATAATTAAATAATTAGTTAATTAGTTACTAATATTTATTTAATAATCTATTACATGATATATTGCAGGATCAATTTTTGATAATTATTCTTTAAATAATGATGAATTACTACTTATCAATTATTAATTACTATTGATTAATATATTACAATTTATTATATAATTTAATATTGATTATTAATTAAGTAATCACTATTTTTTATTTATCAACTATTTACTAATTAATAGATTATAATTAATATATATGATTGATATATTAATTATTAGTTATTTAATAACCTATTATTAATTATTCTATTATTAATATATTATATAATCAATTTTTAGCAATTAATCTTTAACTAAATAAATAATTAATAATTATCATTTTTATTAATAAAATTAAAATTTTAATAATAATATTTTAATATTAATCAATAATTAAGTAATTACTATCTATTTATTAATTAATAATTAATATATTATATAATTAGTAATTAAATAATTTCATGTAACATTGTTAATAAATACTAGAAAATAAAAATGGAAAAGGGAAAACAACATCTAATCGTTTTCTAACTTACTTTACAAAAACTATTTTCATTATTTTTTGTTTTCTTTTTTATTTTTAAAATATTTACTAAACAAACATAGTTTGCAGACCGTTTTCATTTTCGTGCATCAAAAGACGTGTAAAAACGTTTTTAAAACAACTAAAAAACAGTTTTAAACGCATCCTATGTTTTTTTTTAAAAAGAGTGATACTGAAGGTGGAGATAGTAAACTTGTAGCTGTGGGTTTTAGTCAATGGCATTAGCGAAGATGATAGTGATAGATGAGCTGCCTTTTTTATTTGTCGAACAAGAAGGATTTAGGCTTAGTTTGGTATTGCTGCGGATTTTAGATTAATTGCTTTTAGCTGTGCTGAAGGAAGAAGTTGCTGTTACAAGAATCCGCTGAGTGTTTGGTAAATTGTAATTATAGTAGCTGTGCTGGTTCTAAAATCAGTGTAATAGCGTTTGGTAAATTTTGATGTAGAATTGCTGTGGGTATGTAAAATGACCAAAATAGACATGGTATGAAAGTTAAATATATATAATTGTTTTTAATATTTAGAAATATTTATTTAACTTTAAAAAAACATAATGCTATGATTTTACTTTTTTTAACAATAAATTTATGATAATTAATTCTTTTTTTTTCATGATAATTAATTATAATTCACACAAAGATAGTAATAATAAAGTAATAATAAAGTATATTACAAAAAGAAAAAAGTATACGATTCCTAAATCATTATAAATTGTTTCATTATACAAAAGTATACAAATTGATTACTCACTACAAGGAGTATTAGTGAGTAATCAATTTGTGAACAAAAAAGTACATTCCATGTTCAAAAAGTGACAGAGCCATCAAAAGAATTAAGCCGTGTTCATTAAACTTGTCGCAATCTGATCTCGTACTTCAACCATTTCTTGTGATGGTGAAGCTTCATCTTCTTCTACATTATTCTCCAGTTGATGCTCTTCACAAAAAGTGACAGAGCCATCAAAAGAATTAAGTCGTGTTCATTAAACTTTGTTGCAATCTGATCTCGTACTTCAACCATTTCTTGTGATAGTGAAGCTTCATCTTCTTCTACATTGTCTTCCAATTGATGCTCTTCATAAGTGAAAACATCTAGATTAGCCTCGACTTCTTGAAAATGCCGATCACGCTGATCATGCATCCTAATATAGTTATGATGCGCCATTGTTGCAATAACTATTTTTACTTGCTTCTTAAATGAATAATTAGGCATGTCTCTCAAAATTTTCCATTTTTTCTTCCAAACACCAAAAGTGCGTTCAATGACACTTCGAAGAGAAGAATGTGCTTGGTTGAATACCTCTTTACTGCCCATTGGTCGACGACCCATTCGAAATTGTGGTAAATGGTATCGTTCTCCTTTATAAGGTCCAAGAAATCCTTTCAATTGTGGATAGCCCGCGTCAACCAAATAATATTTACCTATTAAAATAAAAACACAAGAATTAGTAAAATGTAAAACATATATAATATAAAATATAGGCAATGTTTTAACCTTCAGGTGGTTTTGGAAATTTCAAATGTCGGTTACGTAGTGCTGATAAGAATATTCTTGTATCATGGGCACTACCTTCCCAACCTGCATATGCATATATAAATTTCATACTGAAATCACAAGCAGCCATCACATTTTGGGTTGGCACACGCTTTCTTCCGATAAATGGCACATGATCTTCTGGTGGTATTGTAGCTTGAACATGTACGCCATCTATCGCACTAATACAATTCTAAAAAGAAGAATTTTTAATGTATAAATAAACATAATTTTAATAGGGAATGAAGCATATAAAAAGTATGCTTTTAGTAGGGAATGAAGCATATTAAAAGTATGATTTTACCTTAAAATGTGGCATATATCTACGATCCGTCAGTATCTCTATTGGTATGTCATTAAACTCTAGATCTGGAGGCTGTATAATATCGATGCTCATACGACATACAATTTCTAAAACATAATTAAAATATCTACTCACAGTCTCACCAGAGCGTTGAAATCGCTCTTGTGCTGAACGATTCCCCGCACCCTGACCCAAAATGAATAAAAACATTCCAAGTATTTCAGTCGCACACATATTCCTTGATCCCTGTAATCCATACTTACTCTGTAGATCATTACATAGCTTCAAAAACACGTTCTTATCCATTCTAAACATCCTATAACTTCTAATTTCATGCCCTCTTAATAATTCCGTCACCCATATGTTTCCCGTTTGTGAAGAGTTCATACACGGATTCTTATGAACATACGTGTTGTAGTAATATTCAATGAGTCGAGCAATGAGACATGTAAATTGTAGATCAAACTCATCACCATTGTCAGCCATCTTTAGCAACAACAATAAACCTATCATTCAAATTGGTGAAATTTGTAAACTCATCACCATTGTCAGCCATCTTTAGCAACAACAATAAACCTGTCATTCAAATTGGTGAAATTTGTAAACTCATCACCATTGTCAGCCATCTTTAGCAACAACAATAAACCTATCATTCAAATTGGTGAAATTTGTAAACTCATCACCATTGTCAGCCATCTTTAGCAACAACAATAAAC